CCCATCTTAAGAAAAAAACATAAAATTCAATAAACATGTGGGTTTGTCTGAAAATACGGTAGCGCAAAACTGTATGTTTTATCATCACGTTCCCTGTTAAACATAGCTATTTCAAGGTAATCCCTCTGGTAATTTCACATACCTATTGAAGATGACCATGTTTAATGGGTATAACCAAACAAATGGACATGTTCAATAGCAAACTGTTAGTTTACCAAAGGCTAATCCCCAGCTTCAGAACCTCCCCATTTTTTGAGCAACTACACACGGATGATCTGGGCTCCGCTCAGGTTTCGCGCCAAGCTTCTCCAGTGCCTCTGATGGGATCGCATCCGCCCAAGCTGATGGTGAAGTTATCGCTATTCAACTCCTGTGCGATCTGAGTGGTCCAATGGTAGCCAGTATATGTGGGATATTATGGATCTATAATATTCTATAATGATGTAACCGCCAGCTTTGGCTGGGATCAAGAAAAACATACCAGAATCATTACACACTAGTCCACGGATTGGTTGAAGGGAACATCTACAAGAATCTATGTTCTTTTTACCATGAAATATAGGGTTTTCCTGTAAACACAAACTATCCAATAGGTTACTGATGACATATGATTTATATGGAAGCATCATGTAGTTCATCAAAGACTGTATATACAGTATACATATGAAAGTACTACCAGTATGGAGCGATTTCCCTCACAGCGATGTCACTCACATTTTCAGTATGAATATGAACATGATGATGATGCTGATGATGATGATGATGATCGTCGACACAAAATCAGGCTTGCCCCCCTGGGAAGGTACTCCATTCCTAGACGAGGATCAGGCCTCTCTGGAGGGATTCAAACAGGGGTACCTGTCCGAGGGGTTCGTTTCATCCATAACAATCAACCTTCACTTGGTGCATGATAAGCAACAATTGAGCAATATCCAATACACTTTAGAGATAGGAATAGACAATAACAATAGCCAATATGTTTGGATGTACTTTTTGCTGATTGTCTCAGCAAGATGGGTATAGTGCACCCGCCGTTTCCGGCGCGGTCCTTCGCTATCCTCACTCGAGCTTCCTGCGCGGTTTCAGCAAGCTGCTCCTGGGGCGATCGAAGGCTGTAACCTGATGTGAATGGATGGATTGGTTGAAGGACAAACATCTAGAGGAAACCATGGGTTTTGACCCAATATTTCTGCGGTTTTTCCTATGGTTTTCCTCGTAAATGTTCCCACCAACCGATTCTAACGCTATGAAGCCTGTCCTCTTAGCTCTTGCTTTTTCGGCAGGGCCATCCCCAAAAAAGCGAAACGCAACCGTCGTTCAAAGCTCCACAAAGCAGGACTGTGTTAAAAACCATCTGGTTGGTGGTTTTACCCATCTTGAAAAATATGAAAGTCAATGAGAAGGATTATCCCATATATTATGGAAAATGAAGCAATGTTTCATTCCACCCCAAAAAAGTAAAAAATGTGGAAACCAATCAGAAACACATACAATGTGGGGCCCCCGTTTGATAGCTAAGTTGGTTTTTAAGTGCAATTTCACTAGGGTTAATGCTAGTTATATCTATAGTTACTATGGTTTGTAAACCAACTTGCCACTGGGGGGCACCACCTTATGTCAAAATCACCACCGCAGTACAACCGCCAGTCCTTCGCAGAGCTTTCGACCGCAACCATCTTTTCGTGGGCTGCCTCCTGGCAGTCACCAGAACTATGGAATGCCATGAGAAAGCCATGGGAAAACCATAGGAACATAGTGATTTAAACCAACAAAAATGGTGACTTCATGGGATTCGTAGCTGGTTTATGATAGGTAAGTTGGTTTTTGACATCCAATTTCACTTCGGGGGTTTATGGGGGATATAACTATAGTTGGGGTGGTAGATTTATACACAAACTTATTACATGTAACTGGGGGGCACCACTGTGTACTAATCCCCTCACCTCAGCCACCTCAGCCACCCAGCCATCGGCACCTCCGGCTTTTCCTCCGACTGCCCGAAGGGGAAGGATGGCATCCTTGCGGAGAAGTCATCTTGCAAGTCCAACATGATCATGGCCAATATGAAAGATACCCTGAAGTATTATATAATACCATATAGTTTCTAGATGTGAACTATACCTTAATATAATACAATTTATCTTAATGATGTTTTTTCTATAGCTATAACATTGCCAATCTTAAATACCCTGCAACACATGAAAAAAACAATCTTCGTTGGTGAACGTAGATAATCCCTTGGTACCAAAGGGCTAAAGGATTAGTTTCTACCCATCTAAGATTGACCTAGTGATGGCAATCTGGTTTTTGAATCTTAGTTTTTTTGGATGTATTTTTCAGAAAACACCTTGCATATGCTCCATTATATTTACCTATTAACTGGGTGAATACTTTGGGGTAAATGTTCGTAAACATGGATATGACACACTGGAACATGACATAAAATGAGCCACATTGGGATGCATAACCGGGTGATTTATGGGGTAAAAGTGTGTAAACAATCCAGCACCATGGAGCATATCGCTATGAAAACATCAGGAACACACTAGACAATTACCATCTGGTTATTTAACATAGCAAGCCGGAAAATCCCCAAAATACATGGAGGTTTCGTTCGCTGGGAAAATCATCTATTTCGATTAGGGCCATGGCTTCCACATTTGGATGATCGAAACCTTAATCATTCTAGGGAAGATCTGCGGATTGGTTGTCCCCTGTGCCACATCGCAGAAATTCAACCCAGGGACCCACAGCTTTGACCACCTTCGCAAGGAGATCCTGGCGGATCTGATGCTTGGTCCCCCGAAGGTCCGGTTGAATCATCATGCTTATACTATGTGTATATATATAATATAAAAATAAAATATATTCTTATATATATATTATTATAAATATAAAATATATAATATATAATATATAATATAATATAGTATAATATAATATAATATAATATAAAATAATAAATTATACTATAATATAGTATAATATAATGTAATATAATATAATATAATATAATATATACTATATTCATATCTGATATTATTTATGTTATTATATTATACTGTATCATATTTTATGTTATTTTATAAGTGGAGGTTTTAGAAAAACAAATATCCAAAACTGCTGGATTTCTCCACTGCCATGTTTGATTGTTGGAGTGTACAGGATTCTGACTTACTGTACAAGGTGGTGCCCCAATTATAAATTGGTTTGTATATCTGCATACACTATATATAGATATATATCACCATAAACCCTAGTCGTCGGAGTTTTTGTTCCCCAACTTAGCATAAATCGACTCTAAATCCCATGGAACATGTGCTTTTTCTTGGTGAACTTATCCAACTTCTGCACCACATTACAAGTACCATATATGTCAGAAAATGACGACTGATCTTCCAATAACATCCCAAACAAAACCAAGATAGCAATGGAAGATCACCATTAAGTCACGACTTGTCTGGGTGAAATCCCATTGAAACATATTGAAACACCATAGCAAACTGTAAAAAAACACAATTTTCCTATGGTTTCCCTGTGGTTTTCCCATGGGTTCATTAACGTTCACCGGGGGCGCCGGAGATCCCCCAGCGGTCCTCCCTGACACTGGCAGTAGCCATAGGATGGCGCGCCAAAAGGATTCACATTCAGCGGTGCGGTGCATAGTGCGCCTGCCGGAGATGGACGTGGCGGCACCAAGGTGGAGCTCAACAGCGAAAACGACACCCATGGGAAAACGATGGGAATAAAACATACAAGATGGTGCCCCCCAGTGATGTAAGTTGGTTTATAAACCCCATTATATAACTAGTTCGTTATATCTGCCATAAACCATAGCTATGGGAGTTATAAACCAACTTGTCTAACGAACTGGGGCACCACCTTGTAGGAACATGGTGATTTTTCAGCAACAAAAATGGGGATTTCATGGGACTTATAGCTAATTTATGATAGCTAAGTTGGGGCAAATAACTTCAATTTCATGTAAGCAACTTGATGGAAATCTTTTGTCACCAAGATGGGGATTTTGTTAGAACACAGTGGGACTCCCAAACGTTATGTTTGTTGGTTTATAACTAACTCCATCTAACTTAATAATACTATATATATGTAGCTGTATCGATCGTAAAGCCAACAGTTATTGGAGTTATAACCAACTTTGTTACCTTGGCGGCCCCAGATTGTATCAACCAAACTAACCACCTACATACATTGAAGCAAATACGTTCTGCCTTGTCAACGCCTAGTATGCCTTCCTGAAATATCCCAAAGCCACCATGCAGTTTTCAAATCGGTAAACTAACATAGCTGTGGAAATTTGCCAATTTATAGATTACGATTTACTTATTGAAGAGGTTATTTTCCATAACTACTGTATATCGAAATACATCCATGTGTATTAGTTTACACCAGGGTCACCAATGAATGGATTTCGTGGTACCCTCCGTATTTGAATATTGGGGGGAAATGAACTTGAAAAATATTGTCAAATTCAATGGAGGTTTCATAAATCATGGGGTTACTGGAAAAAAAACATCCCATCCAATGAGAGTAACGTTTGAAGCAAAATACCTGGGCAAAAGACCTCACAATATCGAGACATCTAAAAAATCAATGCTGTTTCTGGGGATGAGTGTAACTACATTTTATTACTAACCATACCCTCTGGTAATTTGTTACGTAGCTATTGAACATGACCATAGAAATCGTTGGTTTACCCACTAAAGGGTGATTGTTTCCATAGTTTTTTCATGTTTTTTTCTATAGGTGTAATATTGAGGTTGGCCAGCGAGGCTTCCATGTAACGAGACGGTATGGTATGGCATGAGTATCATCAAGTCATGGCATTGAGTGAAAGATTCGGCTTCGAAAACTGGTGTAAAGACTAAAGTTGCCGCTGCGTGCACAACACGAATGACTACAAGGTGGTGCCCCATAGTTAGCTAAGTTGGTTTATTGCAGATATAACGAACTAGTTAACAGGGTTTATAAACCAAATTATAACTGGGGGGCCTCACATTATAGAAATTCAATTTTGTTTCCGAAATGTTACAGTAAGGTTTGTGAGTATCCAACTGCTGCACTATGCATCAGTTCGAGGGAATTTACTGCAAATCTCAAACCAATTCATTTCTCTTAAGCTATGGTTTCATGTTGAATGAATTGGGATACCATGTGATTAGCATAGAAACTACAATGAATGGCTTCGAGGGAATTACGGTTTCAGTTTTCTCTTAAACCAATTCATTGAACTCCAATGGAGGCACGTTAGTACCATATTTTCGGCCATATTTTGTGGGGGATATTCCTGAAATTTAGGCCTTAAACAAAGGCCTAAAATGGTGGGTATCCCATCCATGGCGATGGTCGATGGTTGATGGTCTTTGGTCGTCCGTTGACGGGGAACGTGGTTTTCACTCAACCCCCATGAGTTGGGAGATAGCCCGTATAACTATGGTATACTATGGTTACCCTCTGGTAAACTAACATAACTATGGAAAATCACAATTTTTAATGAGTAAATCCAATATAAATGGCAATTTTCAATAGCTATGTTAGTTTACCAGAGGGTATGTATCCACGAAAAAAACTGGAACTGCACTTCCAAGAACTGGCGAGATTATCATGCTTCTCCATCATGTTTGATTGTCAAAAACCATAGTTTCATGCAAAAAGCTCCGCAGTTGTTGTCGTCAACTCCCATGAAATTGTCAAATTCCATTCATATTCCATATATATATATATTCCATATGTTCCATATCCCATGTGCTCCATGGTGCTGGAATATTTACCAACATATGCCCTTACCCAAAATCGCCCAGTCTTGTAGGTAAATATACCAGCACCATGGTTCGCATATGGGTATATCCTCACTGTTCCTCACTACATTACTGGTTGGTGGTTTCAACCCCTCTGAAAAATATGAAAGTCGGTTGGGATCATTATTCCCAACTGAATGGAAAAAAACATGTTCCAAACCACCACTTTCTCACTTTCTCGCTTTCTAATGCGCGCACCGTCACGTAGTTCCAAACCACCAACCAGAATAGGTTATTATTCTGCAAGCTAACATAATCATGGAAAATCACCATTTTTAATGGTTAAATCCACTATAAATCACCATTTTAAACCACGATTTTCGTTGGTTGTTCATCCCAAGGACGTCGACGATGTCCTAATGCGCCGCCTAGAGGGCAGCCGGTCTCAGCAGCCTTGAAGGGATTGGGAGGATTCCTCAGCAGACACGCACAAAAAACTGGTGGTGCTGCCCGCAAACGTTACAAGTTTGTTGGTTGAATAAACATAGGAAACCATAGATATGACTACCATAAACCCTAGTTATTGTAGTTATATTTGGCCCAACTTAGCTCTCGAACGGCGGCCACACATTGCAGAAACCATGGTTTAGTGGATTTACACCTTTTTGGGACAATTTTGGGGCTGCTAAATGTTGGGGGGATGGGATGATAGAAAGGGAATCCCTTTGGAGGAGCATCCCACTCACAGTAAGTGCGGAATAAGCCTGATTAGTAAGTTCAATTTTTTCGTGGATGATCCCTTAATAAATGGGTTATAATGCCACTTACTAACCACTTACTAAGTGGGATGATCCTCCGAGTAGTTATGACTTGGTTTATAACTCCACCAAACTAGTTCGATATATCTCCAATAAACCCTAATTATTGTACGTAGTTATAATAAACAAACTTAGCTATCTTGGGGGCCCCACATTGTAAGACTAATTTTAACGAGAAAAGGTGTCTGTTGTAACGAGATGTAACAAGACTGGCGATTTTGATCAATACATCAGATAAACGCAGACTTGATTTTATATGAGACATGGATCATCAGATGCACAGTAAAAAACATATAGAACTATGTATAGACAAACATGTTCATTCTGGAAGACGCTCTTGGTATAGATCATGTTCATACATGTAAATTATAGATCTTTACCTAGTACGAACTCTAATATAGCGAGGAATGATTTTCAAACAACAATGACCATCCTGATGTAAAATCTCTGCAGGATCTTTGTAGATCAATTCCAATATAGAGACACCAACGGTACGGTGTGATGCTCGCAGATGTTTGATGCATTTTGATGACAGGTTTCAATCAATGATCAGCTGCTCGCTTTCCAAATATGTCAGTCAAGTACTACCGATGTGTTTCCATAAAGTGGGGCCCCCGAGATAGCTAAGTTGGTTTATACTAACAATAACAAGGCAGAACGAATTTGTTTCAATGTATGTTGCTGGCTAGTTTGGTTGATACAATCTGGGGCCTCCAAGGTAACAAAGTTGGTTTATAACTCCAATAACTGTTGGCTTTACAATCGATAAAATATAGTACCATCTGGTTATAACTAACATAGCCATGGATATTCACAATTTTTAATAGGTAAACCATCTATTTCTATGGGCCATCTATACCATGGCTATGTTAGTCATAACCAGAGGCTATTATATAGTTAGATGGGGTTAACAACCAACAAACATATAACTCGGTCGCGGCATGGGAGACAACTCTGGGAAGTTCCACTGCTGGATGTTGCATCGACCACAAGCTCAACAAATGCCGAAACATTCGTTGGTGATTTAGATCCCTTTTTTCCCCAGGGGAAAAAACGATTCCTGGTTGGTGGAATCAAGGACAGACCCAGAATTCTAATAAAGAAGGTGGTTTCAACGAGACTAAGGTACGATAATCCTCCAAGTATCTTTCAATCTCTAATTCCACTGGTTGAAACAAGCATGATCTCTGTATCTTCTGGGGGGTGCAAATGGCATTGCTCCGCGGTGAAACCCCACCATAGAGGGCCAGAAAAACCTTAGCCATACCCCAAAAGATCCATCGTCAGTGCAAAATCTGCCACTTCCCAAATTATTGGTTTCTTGAATATCATAGATCCTTGGCTTGGTTGGTAAAAATTACCCATGGCCCATTCACCAAGCGCGGTGAATTCCACCCTTTCTGTTCGTTGAAACCTCATAAAACATCACTTTGACTACCCTATAGTAATTTAATTAATATAGCTATACTTATACAATGGACAATCACCATTTTGAATAGCTCATTTATGTTCATTTTCCATAACTACATGTCCAATTGCCGGAGGGTCAGGGTAACGCAACGATCCTTAGCCACCCTAGTCTTGTCTTCCACCAGGAGTCGTGCACGTGATACCTCTAGAGAAGCAGCAAGACTTGTCCTTGGCATGGGCTGGGTCTGGTGTTGGTTCTCGAGGCTGACATCAGGAAGTGTCCTAATACTCCCAAAATTTGAGGAAATAAAATCAGGATCCACCAAAATTGATATATCTTACCCTTCCCAAGAGGCATAGATAAATAATGATATACAGTATAAATTATGATAAATCTTAAACCCATGTGATTTTGTAGTTTTTTTGGGGCTATGAAAACGAAAGAGAACTCCAAAAAATGGCCGCAAATCTTCAAGACCACAATCATTCCAGGGTTCAAAGCTTTGGGAAGGAATGCACATTCCCGGCGCCTACGCTTGGGCTGGTTGAGCCATTTGCGCAGGTCCGGAAACAGGTGCAGATGCCTTTGGAAAAGGCCCTCCAGGCTCATCCTTGCGAGGCTCCACCACCTCTCCACCTCCTTCCCACCTCCTCCGCAAGCTGGCCCTCCAGCCAAGTGGAAAGTGTGTCAGTTCAAGAGCCTCTCCAGCATTTCCGGATTGTCATCATGGACATATGGGTCCTGTGTCAGATTGCGGCCCTACCGGGACTACGGCTCGTACCCCAAAGATCCAAAGAATGCACTGAAAAGTCATTTTGGGGACCTCTTCTGCCCATTCTTCGTAGTATATATTTGGTGTCGACCCAATAATTACTGTTCGAGAAATCTAGGAAACTCAAGGTTCACAAACAGGACACCGACAAATTTGGGAAGGTCTCATCGCTTACCGCACGTTTGTACAAAAATGATGCATGGTAAATTTATGTAAGTTTAGTTGCTACCGCTAACATAAAGGAATATGATGTTTGTGCTCAGGTATGTCATAACCTTCAAAAGGAGTATCCCTATCTGGGAAGGTCCCATTGCTTGCCTCATGTTTGCACAATCTATGAAAACCAATGTCCATCCCATACATGGTTCCTACGGTGGTTCATTTCACAGTTGGGTGCCCTATCAATTTCAGTATCTGCTTTCATTATCTGCGTGTCTCTGGGTGTTGGAACCAGCCCAGAAATGCTCATGTCCGCAAGACTCATTGTGTCACAAAATTGCTATATGAGCGGCGGACAAAATTACTCACTACCCGCAATGGACATGTCCAAAGTGGGTGGTCCTCTATTTTTGTTGTGAAGGTTTGTACTTCCATGCTATGTGTGAAAATATGGTATCGGTAAGTGGGTGGTCCCCTATAGGTTGTGAAGGTTTTAGCACAAATTTGAACATCCCAAGTCCACTCCCGACAGTGATGGCCATTTATTAGTTATAACTTGTTATAAGTGGGATTAATATACATGTTATAAATGGGGTTATAAGTACTTATAACTGGTAAAGGGCCATAACTGTACTACTTTAGTCTTCCGATAATTTTGTCGGTTGCTCACATGGTTGTGGGTCAAAATCCTGGTACCCTAGGTACAAAAAAATAGCTGGGATTTATGGATGTTCATCCCCCTAAGAATTCTATTTATAGGTCTTGATCAGTGGCCATATATGATTCACAAAAAAGAAGTATAATGTGAGGCCCGCTAGTTATAAGTTGGTTTATAACCCCATCTAACTATAGTTATCATTGCCATAAACCCTAGTTATTGCAGTTATAAACCAGTTTAGCTATCGAACGGGGGCCCCACGCTTGCAATCCTACAAGGAAGTTCCCTTCAAGATCCCCTCATTTCTCACCAAACGTCTTCCCTTTGCTAATCCAACAACATCGCAATGGCTTAAATTCTCTGATTTAAAGTTTATTGTCCCATAACAAAAAAACACTGAATTGAGTTTTCCATTAGACCCCATATAATATGCATATATATATAATATATATATATACATACATACGCACATACACTGTATATGTCGTTGAACCGTTTTTTCAATTGCTATGTTTGATTACCGGCCATGTTTGATTCGCCGCGCCGCCAAGGTTCACCAGCGCCTCTGATAGGATCACATCCTCCCAAGCTGATGGTGAAGTTATTGCTATTCAACTCCTGCACGAGGCTCTGTAGATGTCATGCAACAAAAATAAGGGGCTTTTGTTGCTGCATTTCTGGGTACTATTTTCCCGGTGTTTGTCATAATTTTCATAGGCATGATTGGGGTTATACCATATTATACCAAAATGTTCAGACACACCCAAATACAAGTTGTTGGTTTTTGATTCCATTTTTTTTACAAGTAAATTCTGGCGCCCTGTTCTCGAGTAGGTGAGGTGCTTCATCACAGCCATGGCTTCCCTAAGAAGATGATGTGGGGTCCCCAAACGTTGATATATGGAGGTATCCTAAATAGAGGTAACCATATATAGTTAGTAACCATAGTTATCAATGTGGGGCCCGCAAACCTTATGTTTGTTGGCTTCTAACCCCATCTAACTAGTTCGTTATAATTACCATAGACCCAAACGTGAAATTGCAGTTATTTGGACCAACTTAGCTATAAAACGGGGGGCCCGCATTGTATCTATATGACAATTTGTCAAACATAATTATTATCAGAAGTTTTGTACAGTGGTTGATCATTCATGTGGATCTAATGCGTTGTCCTATTCGTTATTAGGCGGCACGCACCTAAATTCACCAATTCTGCAAGGCAGCGCTAGCCAACCCGCTAGGTTTGCGCTAGCTTTTTTCACATGTTCCCGAATACTCGTTATTTCAACATGTGTTATCATGTGTTCTTCATAGGATACGTTTCCGACAATTGCTTCTCTTCCCAGAAGCCGAGTCCAAACATGGTTCCTAGCATTGTTCCCAGCAGATCACATGGGAAAAAAACCATGAGATGCAGCACTTGGCTGAAAAGTGACCCAGTCACCGCCAGAGAATAAGACTGGACAGAGGATAAATACTGCTTTGGCTGAAAAGTGTCACTCCTCTTTGGCTTTGACTGTTTATCCTGTCTTTTTGACAAAGGCAAAAATTACAGCAAAGGCAACGACAAGCTCTGCAGCAAAAGAAGAAAGGGAAGAATTAACAATTAACACCATGTTGGAAAGTTCTTCCAGTTCAACCACTAGCAGCGGCACACACTCCAACTAGACGCGCGCTAGCATTTCCTGTAGGTTTTAGGTACAGTACGGTTTCAGAATGTTTCAAACATGAAAAATAAAATGCAGGTGTCCAGACTGTTTAAAAGAGTCATGGTTTTGAAGACCAAAGAATGAAGCGGCACACTTGGAATTACGATTTATCAACCAAACCAGAAGAAGACGTTTGACAAACCGTCAAATATTGATTTACCAGGTGGTAAAAACGTTGGAGTATTAAATACCGAAAAAGGCCAACTCTTGGGCTTCTGGTAATCCATTTGTTGAGCCATAGCCATGTAACAGCCTGGCTACATACCAGTAAACCATCCCCAGGTGAGAAGTTTACCCTCTGGTAATTCAACATATTGAACATGGCCAAATTATAGTGGATTTACCCATTGAACATGGTGATTTTCCATAGTTTATCGTATGTTTACCAGAGGGTAATTTTATTGGCTGCGCAAATTGGTTGGTACAAATATTTACATTATATATGTGTAATCCCTTTGCCCCAGTATTAGATACCTTTCCAGCAGTTTCTCCAAACGTTGGCTTAGTCTTTGAACTATTCATTTTCAGTCCCAAGCATGGGCATTTTTTCATACTCCCATCCACCTAAATTCAACGGCTCCCAAAAACCATGGTTTAGTGTGTATCTTGGGACCATTTAGGGGGTGTGAATATTGGGGGGATGAGTTGTGTCCAATTACAGGGTGGGCCCCCCGAGTTATGTTCGTTGGTTCACAACCCCATTAACTATAGTTCGATATATCTACCATAAACCCCGGTTATTGGAGTTATGTTCACCTACTTAGCTATCATGCATCACCTATACATTCAAAAACACAGCCCCCATTTTTGTTTGCCAAATAACTTTGTCCGATGGTTTCCGACATGATATATTCAGTTTGCAGTACCTGCAAGTGACCTTTCTGCGTCGACGTTTCGATCGAACCGCATTTTCCGGATGCCTTTGCCCATGGTACACATGTTGCCTGGACAAATCGACCACTGCTTGGTGCTTCATCCCACGGATCGTAAGCATAGAAGGCAAGTTATAGGATGACCTACTTACCAAGTACCAAGTATTAGGGTATAAACCAACTGTACTTACCAAGTTACCTGGTATAAAATGGTTTATCACCCCTGTAACTTGCTGTAAAATGCCCCTGTACAGGCTAGATGAGCCCTGCTTCACGTGGAGACTTCTTCTGTCACTTTCTGCTTCTCGGAGAGGCTGAACGATCGTTTCCTCTAAATTGTGGACACTGATTCAACCAACACATGGGGTAAAATGGTGATATAATGGGAATATACTGGGGATATAACGGCTGTATATATATATAGAAATATATACATATATATATATAATATGTATATGATTATACGTATATATACTTAACCGTAGACAGTTTTTGCCCAAGCCATTTCAAGGACGAAGCGCCTTGAGCCCGTCCCGCAATCAGCGGTCCTTCGCAATCCGCACTCGTGCTTCCTGCACGGTTTCGGCGCCCACTCCAGCGCGGCTGTCCTGTGGAGTCAACGCCGACTCCGCGTCATGCTGAAGAAAAGATAGCCTCTACAATGTGGAGCCCCCGTTCGATAGCTAAGTTGGGCCGAATAACTCCAATTTCACGTTTGGGTTTATCGTAGTTATAACTATAGTTAGGTGGGGTTATAATGGTGATAAACTAATTTATAACTAGGGGGCCCCACATTGTAGCCTATTTTGGATACCCAGAAAGATAAAGGGTGGCCGCTCCAGTTATATTTGTTGATATGTCAAACCCAACAAACTTGCTGGTACACCTACCATCCGTCTTTACACCGATCTCGCCGGCATTCCTCATCTGTTTTTTAATCCATATCAACCCCGCTGAACTAGCTCGATATCCCTGCAACCCAGCAGTTCACCCACTTGTCAATAAACCAACTTAGCTAGAAAACTTGGGCCCCAAATATGGTCATGAAAATCCTTTGGAATTGGGGGTACCCTCTTTCAAACAAACCCTTTGGGCGGCCTCTGAGAGTTCCTTTCCGAGTGCCCTTTTGTCCCTCTGCAACCTTGCCAAGGCGAGAATAACGGCATGGTGTCCAGGAGCAATTGATGATTTCTCTGCTGGTTGCTGGAACAAACCAACAGACATGGGGATACAAATCCATAATATGAGGTCTGTATATCTTATTTTTATAGGGATCTAGCAGGAACGTCACCAACGCCATGGGTATGCCCCCGCAATTCTGGCTGTTTAATACAATGTGGTGCCCCATAGATAGCTAAGTTATTTTATAAGTCCAATAACTATGGTTTATGGTATTTATAACTGTAGTCAATGGTGTTTATAAGCCAACTTGCATAACTGGGGGGCACCACTTTCTAGGGAAACTAATGACAAACCACTTAGGAGTACCTTTTCTTCAAACACACCCAGAATGGATGATGGTCCCTAGACGTCAGAGCTACAAGCTGTACCCTTATACACGTTTTACCTTTTTCTTGTTTCAATGGATTGGTTTAAGGGAAAATTTTCAGGAAAGCCCCATATTTAATGGGAAAATCTATGGTTTCCTGTAGATTTTCCCTTATATAAACCAATCCATTGATTGTTTGCTGAATTTCGAACATGTATTTGTGGCAAGGAGCATATCATCGTTTTGTTTGTTCCAGACTATGGCTGATGCCATTTCCAAGTATACGTCTTGAATCTGCCAGTTCTATCCACAAGTTGTTGTTGATGTCTGATGTCTTTGCCATATTTTGCGGTTCGTCCCCATTTCTGGATGAATCCATGTTGCCCAAATTTAGGATTGGGATGGATTGGGACCTTTGGTTTCTATCACTTTAGGTATTTGATTGAATTGAATCCAACGAAATCAGCATAAGTAGGTGGTCGAAACCATCCCAAAATGGTAGGCTCATTATCGGGTTTCCCACATTAGACTAAACCGAGACATCTATTTTCATCTTATGCATCTTATGTTGGTATTTATTATTTGGGTATGGATCAATACCTATTAATACCATTTTTAGTGGGATGAACATCCATAAATCCCAGCTATTTTGGGGTTCACGGCACGGTACCAGGGTTTTGACCCATCCCCATTTAGCTTCCAATCAAAAAAAAACGGCATGGATCTTGGCCAAAGCCTGAAATCCCAATGACAGCATCATACGTAGAGCAACCCCAAGTCATGGATGCCCAAAAAATGCGGTTAAACCTGGCAAATATATGGGAAACGAGTCGGAAACCAGGATGTTTTCTAACATGTTATATATATATATATATGAATATATATAATATATATATATATAACTATATGATATTTACATATAGCTATTGAATATGGCCATTTATAGTGGATTTACCATAAAAAATGGTGACTTTCCATAGTTATGTTAGTTTACCAGAGGGTATTTAATGTACTTCACATTTCCAGGATTTTCCAGGTGTCTATTCTTTTCTATTTTGGGATGCCATACAGTGAGGTCAGGCGCCGTTGTCGAAACCAAGGCGCAGGGAGTTGCTGGGAAGCTCTTGGTCTTTGCAAATGGCCTCAGTATAAGATGAACATCCCAGGAATCTTAACGGGTTTTAATCCCCTACATATTGGGATGGTAAACAAAAGTAGGGGACCTTTTAAAATATAGCTTATTATTATTGGGATATACCTGTTAAGTTTTTTATAGTATAAGTCTGTACAATCCCCTATCATCAACAGGGTTGGTACCACACTGCTAATTTATTCCCTATGGATCCAAACACTGTCTGAGAACGTACTTAACCCCCTAGTCATCATACCCCAGTCGTACTTCCTAAGAAGGTACGGCTGGATCCATAGGGATTGCTATCTCCCACTAGATATCCCCTGTATCCCCATCTTGGTCAACTCCCATACATCAACCGGCCCGAATCCTGCCGCGTCACATCTCCGGGTTGACACTCCGCATTCGCCTGGCGTGGGGAGACCTGGAAGCCTGTGGGAAGTGGGGAAAGCCACCATAGATGTGGAAAACCCCATGGTGTTGGTGGGTTTTCTACATCTATCTTGGTTTACTATAGACGGTAATTATTTACATCATATTTATACATTAGATTATATTTATGTATAGATATCCAAAAACCTATTAAAAAGATACACGCATTATGATACATTATGTACACATATACAGCAGCAACCATATGCTTTTAAACTATTTTAAGAACGTTTTTCTTGGATCAAACCCCGTTTGCAAAGTCACAGGCTGTAGATCTTCCCAGTACTTCAAGGTTCCACCAGCCAGGAAGAGATCGAAAGCTAGACCTCATACCATACCATGTTATAGGTCTGAACCATAAAATAATGGAATTATGGAATTATCGTAACATTATGGAATATGGTTATAAGGAATAACCATGTGTGGTATGATATGATAATTCCTGATAACCATAGTAGATAATTCCATACCACAATAGGAAGCATCGAACGCTAGACAATATTATAATGGTATGGCACAAGCATCAATAAAGGAAATGGAGATGTCTGTACCATACCTTAACATAATCTATATATTCCTTAATATCCTACATATCTGTTTTTCATACTGACCATTTCCTAATTTCAGGTCTTGTGATGTCCAACAGTACCTTGCAGACAGAACACCATGGCTGCAGGTCACCACAGGGTGTTGTCACGGGTTATGTCACTTTCAACCACGGCTGATCGTTATATCCCCCAGAAATACACCAATCATAAAACCAAGTTTGTTGATTAAATACGAAAAAACAGTACCCTCCAGTATAGGCCCAACATAGACCCTGCCAGATAGTGGTTGGAAGATGAGTTTCCGCTAGAAATTCATGATTTTCACAGGATGCGGCCCTGCCCCAAGATAGCTAAGTTGCCTTACACGTGGTTTAACTATGGTTTATGGTAGATTCCTGGTAGATATAACTATGCTTGATGGTGTTTATAAACCAACTTATAACTGGGGGGCCCCCCATCCTGCAGGGTCTATGTTAATTTACCAGAGGGTAAATAAATCATAGACCGCTAGTTTCACCGGAAAAACACAACCTACTTGCTGGCGTCATATCCCACGAATCCTGAGTGGCTTAAATCCCTAGTAAAAGAAGTGGGATTTCTGTGGGGTTAATCTACTTGCACCATCTTTCAACTAGGGTGAACTAACCTACTTACTAGAGGTTTCCTAAAATAAGGCTAACCCCATTTTAGTAAGATTTTCCATAGCCATCCTTTTTGGTGATCCCCCATTTGGACGAGCCAAGATAACCTCACCACGCCCAGTTAAGCTCCGAGGCGCAGTCACCACGAGGGCCAGCAATGTCAACACAGCGCTCGACATGACCTCGATGAGGTTTGCGAAAATGGCTGAACCTAACAGCAACGGTGATACTGATATATCCCATATGCTCCATGTATGGCTGGTTGGTGGTTTCAACCCCTCTGAAAAATATGAAAGTCAGTTGGGATGATGTTATTCCCAACCTATGGAAAATAAAAGATGTTCCAAACCACCAACCAGTATATATCCCATATGCGAACCATGGTGCTGGTATATTTACCTACATTTGACTGGGTGATTTTGGGCAAGGGCACATGTTGGTACATATTCCTCCATACATGGAGCATATGGGTATCAATAATAAGCACATATCTAACAGCAATATCAATACTAGATAATGTTAGGAACGCATGGATCTAACAGCAATAGTGATAGTGATATAATGGGATAGAAGGGGAAAACATGGATCAAACCCAAATACAAGCTGGTACCCCAGTGAACGGATGTGCGAGATTGGTACGAGTTTGACGCTTGGGTTTACAGCTGTTGATTACTGTAATATCTATAGTAAATCGGGATTATAAACCAACCTTAGAGCTGGGGGACAACACCCTGTATAGACCAATGAGATGAGAAAATAAATCAATCACTGGAAATCTTGTGCAAATTGTCATTTCACCAGCGTACCAAGTATAGCAAAGCCCAGAATTCCTCCAAAACAAGCTGTACACTGTACATAATTCGTGTCTAATTTGTCTGATTTTTTGGGGTGGTTCGTATGGGTAACACCGGTGTTTAGCCCAAAAAGAAGAACCCGTCTGTGAGATCCAAAAGACAACGCTAGGAGCTGTTGAAAAGCTCCAGTGTGGATCATTTCACCGGTTCACCGTTCCAAAGCAGTGTTGACATGCGAAAACATCAAGTGCTCATCTGGTTGGTGGTTGAAAAAAAACATCTGACAAATGATGGAGTGAAAGTCAGTTGGGATAATTAAATTCCATGGTTCCAAAGCACCAACCAGTCATGATGGGTTTTGCGGCTTCTGAATCTCAGTTAGTTGGATTCCAGCTTATGCCATCCTGGGTGTGTCCTTTTTTTCCCATGGAAGATTTTACCACCAAGTACTTGATCCCTATCCCGAGACAAGGATCAATGGATTGGTTTAAGGGAAAATCTACAGGAAACATCAGGAAACCATAGATTTTCCCATTAAATATGGGGCATTCCTGTAATTTTTCCCTTAATCCAATTCATTGAAAGGAGGAAAATGGTCAAATAAAGAAGTATACAGTTCCCCCTGGGTGGCTATAATTTGTCCTCGATGAGATATCCAGCAAAACATCCAAAACATACAGCCGGGGGTGTAATTATACCCCAATGACAAAAAAACATAAGGAATAACTGAGCAGTGTTCAACATCCCTCTATCATTCCATGATACTGGTTAGTTATGGTTAGTTTAAAGGGATTCCCCTATTGGGTTATTATAATCCCCAATATATATATATAGTATATAATATAATCCCCTAAAATCACCGGCTTTCACAACCATGGCGATGGACCATGGATCCAAGTGGAACTAGCCAACATATTTCACCTGCCACGCAACTGGAGCTTGGAATAAGTCGCTTTTAAGCATAAATAAAAAAGTTTCTTTGAGCCAATATAGCTAATGGATTGGTTTGAGGGACAGAATTTACAGGAAACTTATGGTTTTCGCCCTTACATACCATCAAATATAGGGGTGTCCTGCAGATTTTTGTGACACTAATTCTAGGAAACATAGCCAAGCCATTCCACAACAACCAACATAACAAAGACGAAGCCTCAAACATGCAGATGTTTCTGCCCAATACCCGAAACTTTTCCGGGAGTTAACTGGGATTAAAACTCAATTCAAGTTCATGTCAACTATACCCCAAACATCTACGATACATTCATGGACCTGTTGTCCAAAGTTTTTGGAGTCTGACCCAACCACCCAGACATTCTCTGTCGATCTTCACTCCTCCTAAAACGACTCTCTCTGTAGGGCCTGATACCCTCTGGGAATTTAACATAGTTATTGAACATGGCCATTTATAGTGAGTTTTCCGATTGAAATGGCGATTTTCCATAGATTTTTTGTATAGTTTACCAGAGGGTAATTATCGATTTGTCGAAAACAAATGAAAACAAAGTGTACCTCAAAAGCCCAAAATCAAATGATTGGTCATCTGGTTGGTAATTGAGCCTACCCCTCTGAAAAATATGAAAGTCAGGGGGTTATTATTCCAAATATATGGAAAAATAAAGAATGTTCCAAACCAACGACCAGTCATCCTATATCCTCAGTTGGTCAAATTGTCAAGTCCCGATTTTCCGCAATTTCATGAGTCAACCGCTCGATGTTTCTTTGAGGCATGTTGATTATGTATTGTGGAGCTGATGACACGTCTTGCGTTAAGTGAACATCTCCCAATTACGTTGGGAACCTTCCCCTCAGTTGAAAATAACGATTCTTCATCACCAAACTTAGAACATGTTTGAATCTTATCAGCATAAGAAAAAGACTTGAGATACTTATTAGAACATGTTTATTCCAGAGGAAACTTCTCGAGTTTCTCGAGCATCTTCTAATCTTATCGCCCTCATGTTAAGATATGTCCAACATATATCGCCCCCAAAAATGATTCTTGAGCCTGTGCTAAAGCTAATTCCCATGGTTCAGACTGCTTCGAAAGGCCCAGATTCCGGGGCATTGTTTGAGAATCGGATACCCAATAATCGCATCCCATGGCCCACAGATTCATCAATCATTGATGTTCTCTCGAAAAACTTACCAAATCTGCGAGGTAAACTTGACATTTTTTTTAGTTGACTTATAACTTATTAACTTGGTGAACTAGGGTTTATGGTACTTATAGCATCTTATAGCCATAGTTAGGGTGAACATCAAGCAACTTACAACTGGGCACCATCATTCACTGTGAGCTGGTCGTGCAGTCGCCGCATGGATCACCTTTTTCCGTCACTCCTTTCGATGCCCCGGGCGCTCTGGAGCCTTGAGGCATGACACAAGGCTTTGGGGGGCCCAGGGGTGGATTGTGTCAAGTAGACGAGCAGCTGAGCTGAACATCAGAAAGAAAGGAGGATGCAAGTCCGAAGATGTTCCTTGGAATGGTAAGAATCAAAACACCTATAAAATCCAACATTTTTGGGTTTCCTATCATCAATTCCAGCTATTTAGAATTTCACCAAAATACCGTTTAAGGTGACCCTCAAGGATTGTTGTCCTTTCAGATCAAAGGAGTTTGTTCGCCCAAGCGCGATGTTTGTTGCTTTATACACCTTGAACAAATAGAGGTTCCCAATAGCTGGATGGTTTATTTCAGGGAAAATCCCATCGGCCCATATGCTACATGGTGCCGGTATATTTACCTACAAAACTGGGCCATAAAAATGGGATACATCTTGGTAAATATACCAGCACCATGGAGCATGTGGGTATACTTGCCGCAATTAAACCCTAGGCCTTAGTTCACCTAGTTATGTTTGCTACTTCATTTTGGTTATCCTTTGGGATCCCCGTGTTGGAGTCATATTGATTGCAGTGTTGGCTGAGGTCAATAACACTCCCATCCCACGAACCATGAATTCACAAGGGCCATAAGGGGCCCAACATAGATCCAAGGGGTGTATCTTCAAATGGGACTCCAATATTTCATAGCAATAGTTTTTCAGGAAAAATCCTGATGAATTCGACCATCTGATTTGTGACAAAGCCCATACTAAAACAAGGTTTCTACTTGGGGGTGCAGTTCCAGTTTTTTCGGGGCTTCATCCCAACTTATGGTGAGATGGTTCTACGCATCAAAAAATCACCCCAAGTGCAACACCAAGTACAAGTCCCAAACGCCATTTGACAAAATTGTTCATTATATACATCCTATTAAATCACCGTTATCATTGTTAAAAATCGCTATCTTGAAGGATGTTAAGACATGTTAAGACACGTCAACTCACTGCAATTGTATATGTTAACAGAACATCTTTCAGTCCACTGTCTTAAAGAATGTTAACACAATGGTTTCATCAAAATCCGTCAAATCTAAGTCATGGAAATCGGATAGAATCCACTAAGGTGGGTCAAACAATGCCATAAATCAGCCATTTGGGAATGGTTTATACCACCTATGTATGGTGATTTGGGGATGGTTTATGACATTGTTTTACCCACATTATATCTGGTTGGTAGTTTTAACAATCTTGAACAATTTTAGTCAATGGGAAGGATTATCCCATATAATTATTATGGAAAATAGAACATGTTTGAAACCACCAACCAGTGATTTAACCAACAAGAATGGGTTGGAGTTCCTCAAGGTCGCAAGTTACCGAGCCTTCTCAACCCACAGTTTTTTGTTTTTTGTTTTTCAAACGCACTATCATCGGTTAAACCGTTTCAATGGGAGTCATTCTGCACACGTCATGCCGTGAGGGCTTGGCCGCCGCACCGAAAGCGCAGCGAGGCCAGAAAGGGAGAAGCTCGGCCTGGATGAAGCCATTTGGTGATCATATCAGTTAATTTACTGAGGATATAATGTATATCAATATATACACATTATATATACATACTGTAGCTTTTAAATGTTCTATAAATATAAATAAATAAATATATATATATATATACTTTTATAACCACTGTATATATATATATATTATCCCATATATGATACATCATATATGGCACGTAAAAACATGCTCTCGCAATTGAATGTTTTTTTTTCTCACAAGGTGTATGATCCACAGTTGTATAAAAAAAAACGGCAGAATGGAAATGTGCCTGGTGAGAATCAACCAAAGCCGCGCAGAAGTCTGGCTTCTTCGTGCCAAATCATGGCCAAATCCAATAGAAGCGATACAAATGGGATTGTACATCATATGACATATACCCTATCACTGCCTGAGCATTGGTATTGGCCGGTATTGGGCAAATACATAGCCGAAGACCATCTAAAGCATTGGACATGCAATTACCATCGAGTGAATCGAGTGCACGTCAAGATTCCATTCTCCTCAACCTGTGTTGTCAGTCGAGTCACAACTTGCGGTGGTAGTGCAAATGCAACCCAACCAGCCAAAGTAGCCTCAGGCACCACTGGGGGATGCAGTTCCAGTTTGAAGGGTACATAGCAAAACGTATTGGGGTTATATCCCAAACTAAGGGTGTGTTATTTCCAGGCTTATACCGTAAATTACATATATGTATATAATTATCTACATACGTGTATTATATATTATACCTCATATCACTCATATCTTTCGCCCAACTGCACCCACAAGAATGCCCTTGTTATTGCGACTCATGTGGATGTGTACTGGCAGTACAAGATGGGTCATGTAAACTTTGGATTTGTCCACCACAACTGGACTAATTGGTTTTAACACCATATGTTGATAGTTACACCACACACCCCCACACTGTAGATGGACTGTCCATCCTGCACCAGTTGGTAACAAATTTCATCATCTACCGACTGGTGCAATATTTCTTCCATTCACAGTATGTTGAACACTACAATCTGCATGCAGTTTACAGGGTTAACCCCATCTTCTGATGCTTTAACCCCAAAGTTATCATGTTTTGAATGTTTACTCCCTGGACCATCAATTGTGTTTGTTTCGATGTGCATTCCCATGGGAGGTCGTTTGTCACCTTTTTCTAAATATCAACAAAATTGGGTGATATTCCATGTACAACTGGGTGAATTTCCATGATGTTTAGCCAGTTGTACGTTTATCAATAATCCCGTCCAACTCTGGATATACCCATTATAAACCTACAGTTTGGCCATGTTTACTTCAACTGAAACTTATTCGGTGACCCATTCCTCCAAATATGAAAATGACGTAATGGGGATGCACCAAATTTGATAGGTCATGTCTGACTCGGGAGATTCCATGAACTGGGTTCTTTCATATGATTAGTACAATGTGGGGCCCCTCAGTTATGTTTTGCTGGTTTATAACCCCATCTAACTATAGTATACTATAGTTATCATTACCATAAACCCTAGCTATTGTAGTTACAAACCAGTTTAGCTATCAAACGGGGGCCCCACTTTGTACCCAGTTACTAATTCCATCTAATTCCCATATGCTCCATGTAGGGAATGTAATACCAATAGGCAGCCCAAAGAATCACGAGTCATTTTTCGGAACACATCCCATACATGGAGCTTTTCTTTGGGAGTGGGACGGATGTCCCCTTTAGGAGGTACTTTATAACCCATGTTCATACAATATAATTGCTATATATTTCTATTCCATACACAACTGGGTTATTTCATATGTTGCTACCAAAATCCTGCATGGCTTCCCCCAGATCCAGGTCTGGGAAAACATCCTGACTCTCCAGGTCCAGTGGCGGTCCAGGCGCCCCAACACTGTAGGAATGCCCAGCAGTAGATTCGTCAGCAGATTTTTGGTGCCGGACACGCGCGGATGATGCAAGCCACGGCCATTCTTGTGACCCTTGGCAATCCATGGCATCAGCCAAGGGGATTTTGTCATTTTGGTATACCATCTATCATCATTTACGTATTGTTAAAGGGGTTTCTTCAAACCCCTCTATTAATCAACCAACCAATGGGAAAAGGACAT